ATGGAGGGTTGGAGAAAAAGAAGAAGACCTCCAATGAGATGGATGAGCCAGGTGGCATCATTGATGGCGTCAAGTGTGGCAGCGGTAGTGAGGTTGACCCAGGATCGGACATTGTTTTGTTCTGCTGTGCATGGGGTCGCTATGAGTCGGTTCCGACTCGATGGCACCTGACAACACAACAACAACATTCAATCTGTATGCTGAGCAAATAATCCAAGAAGCTGGGTTCTATGAAGAAAAACGTGGCATTAAGATTGGAGGAAGACTCATTTAACAACCTGCGATATACAGATGATACAACCTTGCTTGCTGAAAGTGAAGAGGACTTAAATACTTACTGATGAAGATCAAAGACCATAGCCTTTGGTATGGATTACATCTCAATGTAAAGAAAACAAAAATCCTTACCACTGGATCAATAAATAACATTCCTATCAATGGAGAAAAGATTGAAGTTGTCAAAGACTTCATTTTTCTTGGATCAACTATCAACACTCATGGAAGCAGCAGTCAAGAAATCAAACCACATATTGCATTAGGCAAATCTGCTGCACAGACCTCTTTGTAGTGTTGAAGAGCAAAGACGTCAGCTTGAGGACTTAGGTGCGCCTGACCCAAGCCATGGTATTTTCAATAACCTCATATGCACGTGAAAGCTGGACAGTGAATAAGGAAGACCGTAGAAGAATTGATGCTTTTGAGTTATGGTGTTGGAGGAGAATATTGAAAGTGTCATGTGCTGCCAAAAGAACTAATAGATCTGATTTGGAAGAAGTGCAGCCAGAGTGCTCCTTGGAGGCCAAGATGGCTGAACTTCGTCTCTCATACTTCGGACATATTGTCCAGAGGTACCAGTCACTGGAGAAGGATGTCATGTTTGGTAAGGTGAAGGGTCTGGTAGCATAGTGGTTACGAATCGGGCTGCAAACCTCAGGGTCAGCAGTTCGAAACTACCAGCTGTTCGGCGGGAAAAAGATGAGGCTTTCTGCTTCCATAAAGATTTACAGCCTCGGAAACCCTGTACAGGGTCGCTATGAGTCGGAACCGACTCCACGGCACGTAACAACAACAACCTCTCCTGCTGTGGGTCTGTCGGATAAATGATGTACTGCTAATCACAAGGAAACCCTATACTGGGTCACTATGAGTTGAAACCAATTCCAAGGCACTTAACAACAACACCCTCTTCTGGTGTGGTACTGTAGGATAAGAACTGGACTGTTAACCACAAGACTGGTGGTTCAAACCTACCTGCTGCTCCTTGGAAATCTAATGTGTTGTTAAGTGCCATTGAGTTGATTCCATCTCATAGTGACCCTGTACAGGGTTTTCCAGGATCCGCTGGTAGGTTTGAACTGCCAGCCTTGTGGCTCACATTCCAGTGCTTATCCTATGAGTCGGAACTGACTCAAAGACACTTAACTACCACCACCTCTCCCCTGGGGAGTGAGGGCTAAGCGGTAAAGAGGCCCATCCCTCGACAGTTATATGAACTAGCAATCCGGGGACCTGCTTTGCCTCCCTGCCCCTGAATCCCATATCTAATCCACCACCATATCCTGAAGGTTCCTCTTTGGAAACAGTTTTTATATCTGTCCTTTTCATCCCACCATCATACCTCACCCCTGCAGCTGCCTCCTCACTAAGCCCTGGGCCTTGCCTACCTACACTCCATCTTCTACTCCGTACCTGAGGGATCTCTCCAGAGCTCAGATCTGAACATATCACCGCATACTCAAAGCTTCTCATGGTTGTCCCAAGCCCAAGTTTGGTGATGGGACCTAAAGACCTGCAGGCTCCTATGCTCTGGCCACTGCCTCAGGGAAGGGTCAGCTCCACAGCCCCTGAGTCACACATGCGTGCTGCTCCCTTGCCTAGTAGCACTTTTTCCTGTGTTTTCCTGGAACTGTATTGCTATGAGCTTCCTTTAGGAAGTCTTCTCTGGTGGTCTTATAAGACCCCACTCTTCCCTCCCCCACAGTTCTTTCTGAGTGCCATGGTTATTGTGATGTGGCACCCTCGCCTCTCATTCACCTGGACACAGCACAGGTTAGTAACCACTGCTCCTGCCATTTTATTGCAGTGTTACTCGGCTCCTGCAAGGCTTTTCCTGCACCCAGGTTACAGATGAGAAAGCCGAGACCCAGAGAGGCAAAGTGACACACAGACAAGAAACCGTGGAGCTGAATGAAATATGACCCTAGATCACTTGGGCAGACACCCCTCCCAGACGGAGACTGTGGCTGACCTGTGGTGAGAGGCGCCGGGTCCTCAAGAAGAAGCCGAGGAGACAGCCTACGATGACAGACAGCACAGACAGGATGAGTAACCCGTTCCGCCTGCACACATCTCTCCCTCGCGCCAGGATGGTACCTGGCACCATGGTGAGCCCAGCCTGCTGGCATGGGGCACAGCACCATTCCATGCACATGAGGCCAGCTGTGGACACAGGGACTCAGCCGGGGACTGTGTCTACTCAGCAGGCAGGTGGTCAGGGCTGCAAGGGGCCAGCTGCTTGCCTCACAGCCATGACCTCTATGGCTGCCCCAGAGAGAGGCCACAATCCTATTACTAGCTGCATCATTAGGAGCCAGGAGATTAGTGCCTGGGAAATCAAAGCAAGCCACGTGATTTGAGGGTTCAGACTTCAAGTGTTCCTCTTAAACAGGGGAGGGGATGAATAGTTGTGGGAGGAGCAGGAAGACCACCTGTTTGGTTGATTTGAGTTTTAACTACATTTCGTTTCAGGAAATATTGAAGACAATAACATGCTAATAATTGCTGACATTAATTAAGCATTTACGCTGCACTGAAATCTCTTTAGGGGCCATCAGGCAACAGCAGAACACAGCTGGGGTAGGGGTGGGATGGAATGGAGGTGCAGTGTGCATAGGGGCATAGGGACTGTCTCCTCCTGACACCCAAGGGCAGGCGTGGGAGGGTGGAGGAGGCAGGGCCAAGACAGGAGGAGGACTGAGGAACAGGCCCTGAACCCACTGACAGAACTCCTGACTGGGAGGTGACACTGGATTCTGGTCTCTCGCATCTCTGGCCTCAGTTTTATCCTCTTTAGAATGAGAGAAACGGGCTAGGTGCTTTCTAAGGATCCCACAGCTTAACAAACCAACCTTTTGAAGCTCCTCCTCTTTGACAGACTTTACAGCTCCTGGGGGAAGGAGATCGACTTGAGTCTGATTTTTCCATCCAACTATGACTCCCAAAATCAACAGCTTCCTGATCTACCTTCAACATCAACAAATGTTTCATTTTCTGGTTAACTGTCTGGAGGACAAAACAGAGTAGATATTTGGATGTTGCATTTTGAGCAAGGCCCAAGCCTTTGGCCAGGCCAAGAAGTAGGTCTTACTTTCTACTACAGCTCTGAGACTGTGATTCTCAGGGTGCCCCACCCCAACTAACTGATTCCTTTCTCCCATACCTACCCCATCATGACCTGCCTCTCACTCCTCCCCACTCCCTCCCCATGGCTTCCACTTTCTTCAACAGAGAAATCATTTCACTCAAGAAAGCATTCTGGGAGCACTCCTCTGTCCTTTCAGGACACAGTGGTGGCTCAGACACAGTGACTGCTCTCAGAGAGCTTACAAGAGAATTGAGAGAATCAGAGAAAGGACTGGCAGCAGCAACGGGCTCAAGTTTAACAATGATTATGAGGATGGAAGCAGCAGTCAAGAAATCCAACGGCGTATTGCATTAGGCAAATCTGCTGCACAAGAAAGATCGCTGTGTTGAAGGGCAAATATGTCAGTTTTGAGGATTAAGGTGTGCCTGTCCCAAGCCATGGTATTTTCAATCGCCTCATATGTATGTGAAAGTTGGACAGTGGATAAAAGACCTTAGAAGAATTGATGCAATTGAGTTATGGTGTTGGAGAAGAATAGTAAATGTACCATGGACTGCCAGAATGTGCTGGAAGAGGTAGTCAGTATGCTCCTTAGAAGCCAGGATACCCAGACTTCGTCACTCATATTTCAGACATATTATCAGGAGAGACCAGTCCCTGGAGAAGGACATCATGCTTGGTAAAGTGGAGGGTCAGCGAAAAAGAGGAAGCCCCCCAATGAGACTGATTGGCACAGTGGCAGCAGCAATTGGCTCAAGCATAACAATGATTATGAGGATGACACAGGACTGGGCAGTGTTTGTTTTGTTCTGTTGGGCCCAGGGTTGCTATGAGTAGGAACTGATTCAATGGCACCTAACAACAACAACAACAAAGTACTGCAGTCTCTAGATGGTGCAAATGATTCATATACTTGGCAGTTAACTGAAGAGTTGGAGATTCAAATCTACCCAAAGGCACTTTGGGAGAAATGTCAGGTGACATATTTCCAAAAAAATTAACCATAAAAAAACCTATGCAGTACAGTTCTATTCTGACACATATGGCAACTGGTTGGTTAAGAAGGAACTATTTTTTACTAAAGTGTAACTGACTGATAATGAGCTGACTGGTAAGGGTATTTGCAAATCAAATCAAAAGGCTCCTGGATCAGAACTCCTTAATGTGTTCCTCATAGAATGTTACTTATACATTACATGTAAGTTTTTCCCTCCCCCCTCCCCGCGCCCCCGCCGCCCTGCAGTTAAAAACACATGTGGGAAATGCTAAATGAAACAATGTTAAACAGGGTCTTTGCTCCAGGACTTCTTAAAGTTAGAATATATGAGTTCAAATCCTAACTTTCCTTGGGAAAATTTCTTAACTTCTCTGAGTCAGTTTTCTTATCTGCAAAATGAGGGTAGTATAACAGCACCAAAGAGCACTGGTGACACAGTGGTTAAGTGCTTGGCTGCTAAAGAAAGGTTGCTGGTCTGAACCCATCAGCCACTCTTCAAGGGAAAGATGTAACACTCTGCTTCTATAAAGACTTCTTGATGTTGAATGCCATCGAGTTGGTTCCAACTCACAGTGATTCATAGGGCTTCCGAGGAGCGACTGGTGAGCTTGAACCACTGACCTTGCATTTCAAACTGACTTTGCAGTCCAGCGCATTAACCCACAGCACCACACCAGGACTCCTCCATAAAGATCACAGCCTCAGAAACCCAAAGGGGCAGTTCTACTCTAGCCTATAGTGTTGCTGTGAGTCCGAATCAATTCAACTCAACGGCAATGGATATAGCAGTACCTGGTTCAGAAGACTGTGATGAGAATCAAATATGATGATGCATGCACAATGCTTAGAGCAGTGCCTGGCCCCTTGCAGACACTCACAGACACCGTTAGTTTTAACAGAACCTTTACAGTATGAGTAGTAGCCTGTCATGGTAAAAGTCTGCAAATGGAGGTTACAGAATTCCATCCCTCTTTTTGGGCCGAGGATTCCTTGGATTTGGTGGATGAGGAACACACTTTGGAAAAATCTAGCCTCCAGGATCAAATCCCTGATAATTAAAAATGAGACCCTCCTGGGTCTTGTCTTTGCTCTCCTATCCATTTCACTACCTCCTTCCTTGAGCTTGCCATACCATGAACTTTCACAACACCAAACAAATTCAAGTGTAACAAATATTGTTAGCATGGCACATGACTGAGCCGTGGTTTGTTCTTTTGTGCATAGGGTCGCTGTGAGTCGGAACTAAAAGGCACCTAAAAACAACAACATTCCTGCATCCTCTCTGAGGCCTCCACACATTTTACCTTTGCCCATGCTGCTTCTTCTGCCTAGAGTGGCCTTCCCTCTGTCAACTAAAGTCGCAAATTGGATGCCCCATCATCCTTGAAACCATTTCTGACCCGTCCAGATACAATTCCCTGTCTCTCCTTTTCCTCTACTTAACTCAGGCCCTTCCATAGTCATCAGCTGGGATTAAACTCAGTTCCCCTTCAGGAGAAACCTAATTTTTCATATAATGCTATGACAAGGAAATGATCTGTATGAATAAAATAAAGTCTCTGCTTGTTGCCACTTCAGTTGGTTAACATCTCAGTGGGTCATCCTCAAAGTTGGAGGGTAGATTTCGGGGCCTAGGAAGTACCCTCAGGAACAAGGAGCTGTCTTCCAGAGCAGTTGAAACAGGTAGACAGCAGGAAACCTGAGAGATGGACAGCAGGAAGACTCAAACCAGTGTTGTCACTAGAATTTGTGTCATCCCCACTCCACCCTTCCCCCAGCCAGCCCCTCCAGGCCCCACCCCCTACCGGCTCCCCAAAGTGCCTCCGTCTCCCACTGGCCCAAAAGCCACCCACTAAGGGGTGGAAATGATGAGTTGCAACACTGGGTGTCAAATGACATCAACCTATTGTCACTGCTGCCTTGGCAGCCTCTCCTCTACAGTGCCACAGAGGTGCCACGGACTCTGGGGTCATCTTTGTGTCCGCCCCTCTGACAGTGTCAGGGGCTGCAATCTGCATCCTGGTTGATGTACTGGTGACGCTACTGACTCACGAAGCCCAGATTCAGATGCTATGGGCGTAGAAAATAAACAGTGCTTTAAAATATGAGCTTCAGATCACAAATGATGCATGCAGCCCCACTCCCAGGAGCTCGTTTGCAGTGGATCGATTTCTCATGGGGGCAACTCAGCACAGAGTGTGCCAGGGTGGGAAACAGCAGGGACAGACTTCTCTGCTGATGAATGACTCTCCTAAGGGAAGAATTCTGTGGAGGATCCTCCCTCAGCTGGGGAGGGACTGTAGCAAGGCTTCCAGGAAGAAGGGTCATTTAGTCGAAGATCTGAAAAAGCCAGAAGTTAATCCAGGGAAAAGACAACTAATCAAGACAGAGGAGAGAGGAGGAGAAGCTGTTCTAAAAAAGGGGTCTAAGCCGGAGGCACCAGAGCAAAGCACTCTGGGAACCAGCCACAACTGGAGCTGGAGGGTGGCAAGGGGGGCCTGGCCTCAGCCCTTCCACCATGTGTCAAAATTAATTTAGGTTGAGCTTCCTGGGCTCCCAGTTGGGTTTATGGTGAAGATTGCTTTTGGTTTTGCTGGCTGCTTTCTAGAGACATACCAGAGGCTATTTCATCTCCTCCCTGACACACCTCCCAGGCTCACTGCAGGCTGGGTCCTTCGGGGAGGCTTTCTGTGGACAGCTAATGCGGTCAGGTGTGGATTCTTGCGAGCCTTAGTCAGTGAGGGGCTGTACTGGCTTCCACTGAGAGTTGGTCCTTTACTACTTTTGGAGTCACAAACGTCTCCTTCCAACCCTTCCTTCTAGATGTGTTATTTATAGGAATTGGGCCTGAGAACCCATAAAACCACTTAGCTCCTATTTGTTGAGTACCTGTTATGTGCCTGGCTCTGTCTGGGTACTCTTAGACTCACCAGAGGAAGTTCCACAAGTACTCACTGCATCAGTCAAGTTCAGGGTACAGGTTCTAGATCTGCACTATTCAGTACAGTAACACTAGCTGCATGTGGCTATTTAAATTTCATTACCATTCAGTGAAATTCACTTCCTCAGGTGCACTAGACAATTTCAAGGGCTCAGTAGTCAGATGTGGCTACTGTACTGGACAGCAAAGTTACAGGACAGTTCAATGATCACAGAAAGTTCTGCTCTAGTGGGATGAGGGTGAAACTTTCTAGAATCTCAAGCCT